ATGAATATCACGAACTTGAACGAAATGATACCACAGGTGGAATCTCTAGAAGAAGACCAGATTTTAGTCGAAGAAAACCTTTTGTCGATTTTCAGGTATGACTTAAAACTATTGACGATGCATCACATAGTTTACAGAGAAATGAATTAATAATGACATGTTGTTATCGCTTTCTAAAACTGTCTAATAGCTTAAGTGTGCGTCAGGTGTTATTTCGATCCAGGTTTATTATTCAGATACGATATTATTTGTGTATGATTCTGAATGATTGTTTCAACTATAACAAACATCGCTTTTATTGCGTGTGCGTTTCGTTATCACACCGATAGCTTCATCAAAGTGCAAATGATATGACTGGCAGCAAGCCGCCTTATAAGCACGAAAATAGCGTGAATGACAGATCTTGGTCAAGTTCTTCATAGCGCCCCAGCTTTCGTTTGTCATAACCAAGGAATAATAGGAGTATTCATTACATATTTGATGTTTCTCTAGCAAAATAAAAGGTTGCTCTTTTATCAGAGAACTGAATCTTAAGTCAATTATAGAAAAGCTCTCACCTGACTAGTGAATCCTACTTTCCAAAGTAGCAGACCAAGGTGGACTGCGGATAAATGCACTTTAATGCGGATGTTCAGCTTCCGTTATGTCTTCCAAATTTAGATTAAGCCATAGGCATTGCAGTTGATTCTGTAGACTATGATCAACGCCACCTGAAATTTTTGGGGAAGGTGCTTTTAATGTGGTAGCGTTCCCAGTGTTTTGTCATGAACCTCTTGCTATTAAGGTATTTTTCTGCTGGATCAGATTGTTTACACTTGGTTTTGTTTTTCTTTGTTCTGTTTTTCATCATTTGCACCTTAATAATGGTAGTGTGTTAGAGAAACGCTTGGGCAATTAAAGATTTGACATTAGTTTTATGTGGTACCCTCAACGATAGATCTTCAAATTCCTTACAGATATAAGTTTACTGTTATAGCTGATTATGGTCATCCGGGTTTCGACGAAAATGCTAGATGCATATTTCGTGGATAAATGCAAAAATGTGAGAAAACAAGTGTATCATAGTACATTATGTTGATGTGAATGTTGGCGATTGAAGTTTGCGCGCTGTTCGACTGTAAGGAAATGCGCCCGCAAAGCCAGAAGAATGTGAATCATCAAGTTATTATGCTTGAGACATATTATTTTCAGCAGTCTACGTAGGATGCGATAGGGATATAGCGATGAATGTCTGACATTAGAACAGAAATAGTTAAACGTACCGCATAAACTATGCCAGTGTCAAGATGTTATGTTGAGTATCTCAAGTGGGGCATTTTCATGCTGCACCAGTCTGAAGGCGAGAAAACTAGGTGGTAAAAGAGGGAGAACTCTTGTGTGTTGAAGCATTCTAAATATAATGCTGCGGATGACGGAAGACTCTTGCGAATATCATTGGAATCGCCATGCCGATAACGTAGAATCTGCATGATACTGTTAATCTCCTTAACAGCGGATTGCGTTGTGAAAGGGTTGACTGTTAGAATGGCTTTTTCTAGGCTGTTTTAAGAAACAGATTGCACTATATACTGAAGCACGAGAATTTTCTCAAATCTTTGGGATTTTCTCTGAATGACAATGAATGATCTCTGTATACGAACATGTCAGCTCATTTACCATTTTCTAGGTTACGTATTGATGCCGATGACCTACGGCCGCTAGTTCCTATTGTACAACTGAACAAGGTCGAAAATGGCAGCGCAACGCCTATATTTTGTGTCCATTCTATCGAGGGTGTCGGCATCCCCTTGATGACACTTGCCGAAAAGCTGCAGGTGCCAGTCTACTGTTTCCAGTGTACGGAAGAGACTCCGTTGGATTCAGTGAAGGCCATCGCCAATTGCTATATTCAGGTGAGTTCGCCCTGAAAACCACCATGCATAAGAACCAAAGCTGACCAGTCGTGTTTTCATTATTCAGCGCATGAAAAAGATTCAGCCGAAAGGTCCATACCGCATTCTCGGTTACTCGTATGGTGCGACGATTGCGTTTAACATCGCGACGCAGCTGCAGGCCCAGGAGTTACCAGAGACTGTTGAACATCTGATCCTGCTCGACGGTTCGCACAAGTACACTCGGACGTACCGAAACGCTTACCGGATAGCGTACGGCTTCGCAGCGGGGGACCTCAGCAGCGACCCTCGTTTCGAAAGCGAACTGTTATGCGCGTTTGCCATCCGATTCGCCTCTGACACGGACTACAGAGCACTGCGCAACGAATTGATGAGGCAACCGTCATGGGAGGATCGAGTGCAATGCGTGCAGGACAAGGTGATGAGTGGCGGAATGTTCTCAAATATCAGCACGATTGTGTTTGCCGTTAACTCGCTGCGACAAAAGTTCATCATTGCCGACAGGTAGCCGTAGTCACGTGCTTTGATTTTACACGCTTTTTTTCTAACGCCCTTTTTAACCGTTCTTTCAGATACATTCCCGAACAGAAATTCCAGGGCGACGTTGTTCTAATTCGAGCGAAACATGGCGCGGCCATAGTCGAAGGCATCGGAAGTGATTACGGTTTGCACGAGGTATTGACCATTGTCTTGCTGTCTATCAGCCATTCTTTGACCTAACCATTATGCTAACTTTCAGCTATCAAATATGTTAATTGTTCTCATCATCATGTTAATTGCTATCAAATATGTTAATTCTAACTCACATTTTATATAGCCCATTTGCAGAATGCCTCTGATTTGTGATGTGTTATATTCACTGATTTTCAACAGTTTTTCTCTAAGGCACTGTTATTGCATCGTAGAAGGAACCAGTCCTTTCCGAAAGCAACCCCTCCCTTAT